CTGCATTACCTTAAGGACCCTAAACTATGGGAATTGTGGCATATTCCTTGTTATGGGTACTGCAGGATTTATATCATCAACCTAAACCCTAAACCCTAAACCCCTAAACCCCTAAACCCGAATGCCCTAACCCCTAAACCTTAAACCGTCGTATGGGAGGGTAGGCATGGTCTGTCTTGAGCTGGCACTTAAGGCTTCCAGCTTTCCGGACCGAGGCGTTTGCAAGGGCACCCCCCCAAAAGTTGACGAGGGTTGACCTTTAGCAGGATTTAGGGTTTAGGGTATAGGGTTTAGAGCCCTATAAGAACCCTAGTAAACCCTTTTATGACCCTCCTTTGGCCCTCTAAGAACCCCTATAGTCACCCCATAAAACCCGACCAACAGAACCCCTGGAGTCAACCCCACAGAACCCCTACGAAAATCCTACCCCAACGGGTCCAAGTACCCAAATAGTCGGGTTTCAGATTCCGAAACCCATTCAGAAACACTGTATTTGAGACCTAAACCCCAGAAGTTGAGTGCCTGGACCTTAAACCCTGAGCCCTAAACCCCTAAACCCCAAACCCTAAACCCTAAACCCCTAAACCCCTAAACCCGAAACCCCTGTGGGTACAAGAACCCCGTGACGCACCTCCCGTCGGCGCTTCTCAGCGGCCACAGCCTGACAGGATCAAGCGCCCAAAAATGGTTTAGGGTTTAGGCTTTAGGGTTTAGGGTTTACGGTTTAGGCTTTAGGGCTGTAGAAGTGCATAGCGCGGGGGCCTTAATGATTTAGAGTTTTAAAATAAGGACCCCCCAAAAAAATGTAGGTAATTATTAAGGCCCCTATAGTAGGGCTTTGGGGCTTTGGGAATCAAAGCCTTGGGGTGTTTACTGGGTATTTACCATTTGGGAAGTTCTGTTAACTAGGGTCCCGTTTTAGGTCCCCAGTATAGTCCGGCACCCTGAGAATAAGGACCCCAAGGGGAGCCACATTTAGATAACTACAATTTCGGTCGTTCGGGGTTTAGGGTTTCAGCCTTGGCAGTTCAACTGCCAGCCAAAGGACAGCAACACCAAGCTTAATCTGTGAATCCGGAACCCTGAACCCTGAAGCCCCTAAACCTTTCATTTTTTTCGCTTTTGGTATCCCTAATCCTAAACCCTAAAGGCCCTGAACTGTTCAGATCTTTGCGACTTTCGGGTGTGCTGGGCTGAGGAGAAGGCTTCCCTTTTCTAGTTGGTGAGCCAAGACCCTGCCATGCAACGATGTAGGGTTTAGGGTTTAGGGGTTTAGTCAGGGCTTGATTACCAATACTATTTGAGGGCGGGTCCTTATTATATTTATAGTAAAATGGGCGCCAAGACCCTATTCTAATTGATTATTAAGGCCCCGATATTACAAGGGCTTCAACAATAAGAACAGATGACGAGCAGCGTCCAGTGTTTGGAAATGTTCCGTCCCCTAATTATACTACTTGTCTTGTCTGTGAAGCATTCTTAGCCGGGGTGGCGGGGGGCCGCTGGGGTGGCTAAAGGTGGCAGGGCACCGGGCAGCGCCGTTCGAGGTACAGCGGCTTCAGGAACGGTCCACGGGGCCAGCGCTGGTGCACTGCTCTCGGCCGCTGTGGTCGCTGCTGGAAGGTCTGGCTTCGGGTCGCTTGATGTTCTCGGCGGGAATCCCTTCATGGCTTCCTGGATGAAACCGCGCCCGCAAATGCCACATGTTGGCCGAGACCCGATGGCATCTAGAATGGAAGTAGGCAGTGACTAATCACAATGCAAAAGACTGGAGCGTGCAGATGTTGCAAGGACGATCGGGCTTTTTTAAGCCTGAAGTGCGTATCGTTAGCCGCTCCATGTCGCAGTAACACACGAGCTTCACCGCGGTGTCGGCTGTACCTTCCATCGAAATACAACAAACCGCGGAGCTACTGCGAATTACTCTTGAAGTCTGGTCTTATGAACAAGCCGAACCAGCCACAGGATGTGAGACACTCTGGACAAGTTTTGGATGGACAAACGATTATGTCACTCAAGGGGACAGGCGTAAGAGCCAATAAAGCTCAAACCGAGTCGCATGCTGCAGGCTAGGGTTAGGAGTTAGGGTTTAGACTTCACTCACCCGTAATTCGGTACAGAAACCTCGACTATGCCCCAAACTAACAAAGGCCCTAAACCCTAAACCCTAAACCCTAAACCCTAAACCCTAAACCCTAAACCCTAAACCCTAAACCTTAACCCCTAACCCCAAGCCCTAAACCCTAAGGCCCAATCTCCAAGCCCTGAGCCCTAAACCCTAAGCTAAGGAACCTAAATGGGGGTATATGGGGGTTTCCAAAAATAGGGGACCCTAATATAGCACCCTAAATAGTAGGATCCTTATTATAAGGACCCCAAAGTAAGGTACCCCTAATTTTCGGAACCTCCCATATAGGGCTTCCATAAGGCTCCTATAACAGTAGCTACCCACCTGAAATGTCCTAGACTGAACCTCAAGCCCTAAACGTTGACTTTCTGGGCTAAGGAAAGACACTCTGGGGCTCCAAACAAACAAATAGCACCTACCTTGTGGTCTAAACCCCTCAACCCTAAACCCTAAAGTTTAAACCCTAAACTCCTAAACCCTAAAAATCCCAAAGTCTAAAGCCTAAACTTTTCAACCCTAAACCCGACACCCCTGAACTCTAAAAGTCTACAAGTAGCACCTACTTTGGGGCTGTTTGTGAGCCCAACAAGGGAAAACCCCTAAACCCTAAACCCATGACCAGGCCTCTGAGGTCGGAACTTCCATGGTCATGTTGCTGGAGACCTGAGTCAGGGGTTTAGGGTTTAGGGTTTAGGGGTTCCTGTAAAGAGATCCTTTAAAGGGGTCTTGGCCTATAAGATGGGTTCCTTTAAAGAGATCCTTCTAAGGGTTTAAGACCTGATTAGGGTCCCTTTAAAGAGTTGCTTAAACCAGATCCTTTAAGGGGTTTAGGCCTGTAAGAGGGATTCCTTTAAACAACTCCTTTAAAGGGGCTTAGGGCTATAAGAGGTGCTATGAAGGTTGATTATAGGAGCCTCGGACAAGTACGTGAAGCCAGGGTTTAGGGTTCGGGGTTTAGGGTTTTCCTCGTTATTCTGTAGGGTTGAGGGCTTTGGGTTTTAGGGTGTGGGGCTCAAGGAATAAATTTAGGGCTTACCTAGACCCGAAAAACCTACCTTTTTACGGGCTTGTATAAGGAAATCATAATAAGGAACCCTAAAAATGTAGGTTCTTTAGGGTGCAGGTGGGGTTGAAGGCTTCATAAGGTAGCAGCACTTTAGAGGGCCCAAAAAAAGCACATAAGCAAACATTTGGACAGGGATATCCCATAAAAACCCCTTATAATGAAGCCCAATAAGGTAGGGATATCACTATACAATGCCTATGCTTAGGTCCTTTTTGGGTCCCTGATCATACCTGCTCAGCTCCCTCTAAACGAATAAGAACGCACCGGTCCGATGTGCAACGGACTGCCGCGGCCTTGACAACTGAAGGCTTATAGGGTGTAGCCAAACTCAAGGACCGAGGTCTATAGGGTTTACCTGGGGAGCCAGAAAACGGGCTCTACCCTCTGATTGAAGGGTCATGACCTACCTACTATTTTGCACGGTTTGAAGTCGCAGGTAGAGGGTTTGGGGTCAAGGGATTGAATTTGCCTTAACCCTTGAACCAGAACACCCTAAAACAGGAGTCTTGATAATTCTTGCGGGGGGTGGGGGGGGGGGGTAGAATATCTATCCTACGACATCGTATCACTATTTCCTCAGACTTTTACATTACAGCGCGGAGGTGGAAACTTCAGGAATCGGCAGCCAAGGCCAGCAAACTCTGAATTTCCCAGAGACTCCAATACCCCTTAATTAAGGAATATACCTTAAATTATAGTAGGATCCTCAATATGATTTAAGGTATATTCCTTAATTACGGGGTATTGGATTCTCTGGGTTGTTGCAGGCGTCGACATGATGGCTTTCTTTGAAACCGATTACGGCTTTGGCCCAAAAAGGGTTTTGGGTTCAACGTCGGTGGCCTGAATCAGTACCCAAAGGCTCCATGTACCTTTATAGTAAGTACTTAAGCCTTAAAAGGGTCTCTATATAGGTACTTTAGGGCTTGACTATCTACCCCTAAGGGTCCATGTATCCAAATAGTACATACTATGGCCTTAATGTAGTCCCTATATAAGTACTTTAGGGCCAATGTATATACTATTTGGCACATGGACCCTTAGGGGTAGATAGTTAAGCCCTAAAGTACCTATATAGAGACCCCTTTGAGGCTTAAGTACCTACCCTAAACCCTAAACCCTAAACCCTATACCCTAAACCCTGAACTACACAGGTACATGGATCCTTTGGGGTAGAAGACTGCTTTTTCGGGTCGACCGACCTGAAAGTGTAGGGGGAAAAGAGGGTTTAGGGTTTAGGGGTTTAGGGGTTTAGGGGTTTAGGGTTTAAGGGTTTAGGGGTTTAGGGTTTAGGGGTTTAGGGTTTAGGGCTTAATTAAGGGTTTAGGGTTTAGGGATTTAGGGTTTAGGGTTTAGGGGTTTAGGGTTAAGGGTTTAGGGTTTAGGGATACCTTTGCCAAAACTTGACAATTCAGAACTCGCTATCTTCGGGTGTAAAGTCTCTGGGAATTAAGAGTCAGGGCTTCGGAATTCGCAGACCCTGAGTTTTATGAAACCCCCCGTGTCCGTTCAGGTGTTGGGCTCAGGTCTCCTTCAAGGCAACCTTACAGTTTGGGGTTTAGGGTTTCGGGCTTAAGGGTTTAGGGTTTAAGGGTCTGGGGTTTAGGGTTTAGGGTTTAGGGGTACAATGTATCTGAGACCTAACCCTAAGGATCCATGTACCCAAATAGTATATACATTGGCCCTAAAGTCTATATAAGGACTACATTGAGGCCAAAGTATATACTACTCGGGTCCATGGATAGGGTAATTCCAGCAGTCGTAGAAACATGATAAACCGTACCCTAGAGCTCCCGCGCCCTTATCCAGGCGGAGCTGGGCGAAGTACTTCTCGAGGCCCTCCCCGTGCACCGGCTCTTCGGCACAGACGCCGTGACATTTCAGGGTCACCTGCGAGTTGTGGCAGGGCTTGCAGCCCCAGATTCGTGACCCCGGGAAACTCGTGGCTCTCGGAGCAGAGCACCGTCGCTTTGCAGTACCTGCACACACAGGTCTCCGGAGCCGGCAGCGGGCTGCTGCACAGAGCCGTGCCCTCGTCAGAGAGGCCTGGGCTTGAAATGCCTATCACTCAGTGTCCCTGTGCCTTGACAGTAAAAGAACCTGGTCTTAAAGGGGTTCCTACAACGTTACAATAGAAGCGCAAAGTATAAACAGTAAAGCAACCCTTAGAGGAACCCTTATGGGCGAAGGGACTCTTTGCACGATAGTAGGTAACCCGCAATCCTAAACGCTCTAGAACCGTCTGAAACTCTCGATCACCGCCGAAAAACAGCCTCTACAACCCTTCCGACCTATGGTACTGATCAAATTTAACCTACCTCGGGGCTTTGTCTTTCGGTTTCAAGAATTTCATCCAAAAGCTGCACAGGAAAAAATAAGCTGTAGGACTGGGGAGTTCCTAGGTTTAGGGTTTAAGGTTTAGGGTTTAAGGTTTAGGGTTTAGGGCTTAGGGTTCAGGGGTTAGGGTTTCGGGGTTAGGGTTTAGGGGTTAGGGTTTAGGGTATTTTAAGGCAAGCCTCAGAATCAGAACAGTCCGTAAATTGCAAACTGAGTCGGCTGCATCCCAATGGTCCTTCCCGAGGCAAGCAGGGATGCGATTTAGGCTTTAGGGTTTAGGCTTTCGAGACTTAGGGGCATACGGCACCAGCTGAAAATGGAATAGTGGGGTCCGCAATCAAGACGAAACACCAGCTGAGTTTCGGGTTTCGCATATCCACCCATGGCCGCTGTGCATATGCATATATATATGTATATACAAACATACATGCACACATACATACATCTAAGTAAATATTCATGCATGCATACAAACACAGAGTATGGAATCAGTGCAATGTAGATGGAAGCCTAAGGGCGCATGTACCCAAATAGGGTTTAGGGTTTAGGGTTTAGGGCTCATGGACCCTTAGGGATAACAAGCCCTCGAGCCAGATTGAGTTAAACCCTAAACCCTAAACACTAAACCCGAGTTGCCATGACACCTCAAGCTGCCTCGGCGAAGGCTGCAGGACAGCCAGGTCAAACACTCAAGTCCGGGGTTTAGGGTTTAGGGTTTAGGGTTTAGGGTTTAGGCAAAACCTAGCTTTCTTGGTGCATGACCCACGAAAAAGCTACAATCCTCAACAAGAAGGTTCTGCAAGGTTCAGCGAAATCTTGAACACCAACCTACTTGTCCAGTATCCTGGCGAACCAAAGGTTAACCTTCGGGAGTATATTGGAGTTTCCGAAAAATAGGGGACCCTAATATAGTACCCTAAATAGTAGGATCCTTATTATAAGGATCCCAAAATAAGGTACCCCCTTGTTTTTGGAAACACCCATATTGGTGTTATGGTTTACGGTTTAGGGTTCAGGGTTTAGATGAGGAGTAGGGATGCCAAAACAGTTAAAGGTTACCCAAAACGGATAAAGGTTAGGGTTTAGGGTTTAGGGCTTAGGGGTTACCCTCCCTACTTCCCTAAACCCTAAACCATAAATGATTAAGCCCCACGGTTCAAAGATAGGCACTTGGACTCTCCAACAAAACCGTCATACCCCGGCCGTTGGTGCTACTGGGTTTGGTTTAGGGTTTAGGGTTTAGGGTTTAGGATAAGCCCTACACCTCGTCAGTCCCTGGCTGGGGTTGCGGGTTGCTCGGGCGGCGTAGCTTGCTTTGGCTGAATGTGTCAACATCATTCTGGGAGAGTGTGATTGCTGCATGCTTGTAAACTGCACTCTGTCTCATTATCGTAGATTACTATTCACAAATATGATTTACAAATCTTGATTTCGACAGCAGGCGCAGGTACGGTTGACAGCTAGAAAAGCAAAGTGCCCTCGACAACCCCATAAAACTGGACCTGACGAACAACACGAAAGCGCGCTCAAAGAAATTGCCCTACAGGCCCACAAATTTATGTGGGATGTACTGAGGCCACAGAGGGTTTTGGTTAAGGAATTTTATGTGCGCAGTGTTACTGATAAGAAACCATTACTTAGCAAGCAAACTTCAACGACACCCTTAGGGTACATGAACCCTACCCTAAACCCTAAACCTTAAACCCAAATCCGAAACCCCAAGTGAACCATTGCAATGCTCAAGGGGATCCAGGTCTTCGTAGCTACAGGGTTGTCAACAAGGTAACCGTACTTCAACTGTTCATAACCCCAATGAAAGATTAATTGTGACTTACTAACTATGTCCCGTGATCCTCAAGGTAGGCGGCGGGGGTGGCCCCCCTCCACATATCCGAGAGGCCCTCTACAACCAACAAACAACCCCAGTGTGTAGGCTTCAAGGCCTAGCAGGGCATAAGAATAGGTAATTACAGCAAAGCAAGTCTTGCCTGTATGGCTACACTGCAAGCACCTCAGCCGGTTTTTATTTGGAAGGAGAGCGTATGGCAACTGCAGGACTATCGGAACACGTCAGGCATTCTATCGTGCCACGACGCTTCGCAAAGCCTGATAGAGGGGCCCTTGCAAGAAACTGCGATGCGTTTGGTGTATGTTGTACTACAATTACATATAGGCCCGTACTTGCCCTACATGTGATAATCGTACCACCCAGCGACTCCAATATCCATTAATTTAGGAATAGACCTTTTTATCATATGAGGGATCCTACTATAATTTAAGGTATATAGGGTTTAGGGTTTAGGGTTTAGGGTTATTCCTTAATAAATGGATATTGGAGTCTCTGGGGTCTTTGATATCCCCAAATGACCCAAAGTCCCACAGGAGCACTTGGACCCTTAGCGATGCTTTTGGAGAGACCCTTGATTGAAGGCCTAATTAGGTTTGGGCTTAGGGTTTGGGGCCTAGGGTTTAGGGTTATTACAACCCCCAAGACATCCCCTAAACCCTAAACCCTAAACCCTAAACCTCCGACCTCTGTACCCGCCATACCACTGGGTGCGATAGAAGCGCCATCGCCAGAGCCTGAACTCCGACAATGGTTTAGGGTTTAGGGTTTAGGGTTTACCGTCAAGGAAGGGTTGGAGTTGGAAGGTTCCCTTTTGAAGGTTCCTATAAGGGTTCCTGTAAAGGGTTTAGGGTTTATGGGGTTGGAGTTGAGAGGTCCCCAGAGAGGAACATACCTTAAATTATAGTAGGATCCCTCATGTTATTTAAGGTTTTTTCCCTTAGTTAAGGGATATTGGAGTCTCTGGGTCCTTTAGGGATCTACAAGGGTTCCTTTGAAGCTTCTTATACGGGTTCCTTTAAACCCTAAACCCTAAACCCACAAACCCTAAACCGTAAGGGTTTAGGGTTTAGGGGTTGGGGTTGAAGATGCAGGATGAGGCTGCGAAAGAAGGGGCGGGGTCGGAGAACTCTACGGAGTCTGCTTTACACTAGGGTTTAGAGTTTAGGGTTTAGGGGTTTAGGGTTTAGGGTATATGTTGAAGATTCAACTTCGAAAGCTACCTGTGGAACCACCTCAGACCCTGTGAAGGAAACTGAAAAGCCTCTCGACACAGTGCGGTAGTGAGTGTGGACAGGCTCGTAGCGCGCGGAGTTTGAGGTTGGATATGAAGTTGCTGATGCTTACAGTGCTGAGTATGAAGATACACATGATGATGTCTAACACGAAAACGAAGATAAACCCAATCTGGAGAGGAAATGTGACACTAGAATGTTGATGATGTTGTTGGCAATAGCTTGCAGTGATGATGAAGACACTGGTGGTGGGCATGATGTGATTTCGACGCTGTTGCAGAGTGCTTCCCGCAACCGTGCTGAACATGATGCTGCAAGCGTGCAGAATGGAAGGGTCAGGATTTCGAATGAGTACAGGCCCCTGGTCCAGGTCTTAACGCTGCTGCGAACAGATCAAGAGTTCGATTTGTGTTTAAGGCATGCAGCTGCCTTCTGAATACTTTACTCAGGGTTCCAGGTTTATTTAGTGTTCAATGAGAACTTTTGTAGAGGGTCTACAAGGTCCTTGTAGGGTTTAATTTGTCATTTAGGATTTCTGTCGAGCATCGAGGTATATCCGTGAACCTTTCCTGAGCAGCCGCAAGTGGATACTACCGTGGTACTACAGAAGTTAACAAATCGTACCCGGGTCTTCTTGCAAAGCTGCAGAGGGCTTTTTGGCAAAAATCAACACCGTAACGGACATGAACTCCAAAAGTTGAAAATTCGCTGTGCCGAGAACGGAGTCCGAAACCGGAAACTCAAAGCCAAGGCAAACCGCGAACTGAAGCTAAAACCCTAGACGTCCTTCACCGTCGTCGTCATCCTCGGCCATGTTTCCGTCAACCTCCTCCGCGCCCCCTGCACACAAGCTGTGACCCTAAGGGTCCACGTACCCAAACAGTATATACATTGGCCCTAAAGTACCTATATAGGGACTACATTAAGGCCCAAGTATATACTATTTGGGTACATGGACGCTTAGGGAAAGCTTGCAAAGTACCCTAAACCCTAAACCCTAAACCTTAAACCCTAA